TCTCAAAATTATTGGCCCCTTTTGGTTCTAGATTATATTTCTGCACCAACTATTTAGGGTACCAAAATGCTGCCTGCTGGGGACAAACCACATAGGGACTATGTAACTATGCAGGGTCTATGAACCCCAAACCCTAAACCCTAAACCCTAAACCCTAAACCCTAAACCTGTAGGGTTATATAGACCCATGAGCTCTAAGCCCATCTGCAGGCCGGGCTACTCCCTCGACTGGTGGCCTCGTTGTCGCTTGCTCGCAGATGGCGTCCCGACACAGAGGGGCCGGAATATAGACCCCCGATATATTCTTATCCTTCTTATGGGCACCCCAAAAGAGAACCCTAAACCCTAAACCCCTAAACCCATGAATTGTCGGAAACCCCAAGATATGGTGAAGCAAATAGCAGAAAGTTGTATGTATGATAGTTGACACTAAGCATGAGAAGACGAAGGAAATACGTACTGGCAGAATCCCTACCCAGGTTTCTGATGATCAGCCAAGATGTCGCAAATGTTTACGACATCGAAGCAGCAGCTGTTCAGGCTGGAGATGCACCTGACCATCTGAGCTTCATCGGGCAATAGGGAGAATTTGGTTGTCAAAAGCTGCAAACTGGGCTGACTGTCATGCGGCTATTTCTAGATTCTTGTAATGATAGGGGGTTGGGGAACCAGCACCTGCTCATTATTGCTTCATGATCTATCGGTATGGGAACGACCTAGAATTGCCCTGTGGGCAGACTCGCACATGCCATGATTCCCACAGCTTCCTTCATTGGCGCTCCCCGGGGCCTACTGCAGGTTTACAACGAGCAGGTGGACGATCTGCTGAACTCTGAACATCAGAGCGGCATCGGACGCTCGCCAAGCAAGACAAGGTAGTGGTAGTGAGGTTACAGAACTGGTGCCACATATGATGAGAGAGCTTGCTACGCCGAACTCTTTGCACTGTGAAGCTAGACTTCGATGTCTTCCTTAGATAATTAAGTATTGCGCAGTGTGCTTTCGGAACAAAAGCATGTGCCAAATTGACATTAACATATGTGCAGCTCTGACACACAAAGTGCGAGAAAGGCCACAACCTGAACGTTCGGGACGGCGGCATTGTCACTGGACTAACGTGGATTCGATGCTCGAAGCCTGACGAGATGCTAGACCCCTGACAGCAATTGCAGGTTTGAAGCCAAGTGAGTGGCACTGTAAACGGGAATGCCAAAGTTCCCAATGTGGAGAAAGATGATATCCTCCTCCTGGTTCCAGTAATAAAATCATATGGGGTTCAACCATTAAAAGCACCGCCACGTGTCTTTTTTTGGAGGACTTGCCGTGTGAGAACTGAGTTGCAGATGCGTCTGCGGGCCAGTACTACGCTTGCACAAGGGTACGCTTAGTAGTTGAAGCAGCTGTTGCTTGAAGGAAGCTTTCACGCGAGCCCGAGCCAACGTGGTTTATGCCGAGACCAAGATGAACAAGGCGGGCAGGGTGAATAAACGTTGAGCACAGAAACTCCAGAGGCACGCTGAGACGCAGACTGGGATGTTGTTTTGACCGGTGTGGCCCAACCTCCGACAGACTCCGCTCTAACTCTTCTCGAAAGTAGCTCCCCCATTCACCAATCTCTGAAGACACATGCCCGGCACAAGGCATCCAGTCGCAGCCACGCCATCTTCCAGCTTCGGATCAGCCTCTAAGCTTGGTATAAGCTGTGCTGCCATCCAACTTGAATTTTAGAATTGCAGGGACCCACACCCTCCTCTGGACCTAGACTCCAAGCTTCAATGCCAAGCTGCGGGTTGAAATCCCAACTCTTCGAGCCCCTGCAGTTCACATCCCCCTTGGAAAAAGGCAAGCGAGAACGCGTCTTTGAAGCAGCGAAGACGGGGCAGAAGGTGGAATGCACCATCGCAAGGCTGGAGAGCGTCTGAAAGTTTGATAGGCTAAAATATGCTATAATGTATTGTACTGTACAATAATATACCATCATGTGCTATAATATACTATAATATACTGTAATATCTTATAATATCTTATCATATCTTATAATATCTTAGTACATGTTGTAATATATTATAATATATTATAAAGGAGGGCTGATTCTATTCGTGGCGCCACTGCACGCTCCTCTACATCGTTATCCTTCTCAATCCTGACCTCACCCCCTCTGCTGCTTGGGCTTTGGTCTGTGTTTCTTCTCCAAACGGAAAGAATGTAAAGTTAATGTAAAGCGAGGTCCTGCCTTCGTCTGTTCTTTTCAAAAGAATCCCGGTAGAGTCCCTAGCAGGGTACGGCTCGTTTTGAGAAGCCCCGCCTGCCGGCAGGCTGAATGTGGTGGACCTTGCCGGATCCGAGCGAGCCACTCTGCAGCAAACTATTGGCTGGAGTGCTCATGCTGCTGGCACCCGGCCGTCTCCGGCTTGCATGGAAGCATTGTTCCTGTAGACCTTCTGCGGTGGCCGTTTTCCAGTTTTTCACTGTGGAAGCCCAGGTCAAGAAGTCTGGCTCTGAAGGCATGCGCTTCCAGGCCTGACGGTGATGGGAGTAGTGCCTTTCATTTTGCAGTGGGGTTGCTGAAGCCGTGGTGTACTGAGCTCCGCGACAGAAGTGCCAAGAGCAGTCTGGATGGACAAAGGCCAGGTCATCCTGACCTGCAGTAAGAGAATGTAAGACGATCATCCATAGAGACGCATCTTTCCAGAAGGCTGCTTCTAATCAGAAGAATCCGCTTGCATGTGACCTTCATGCTCAGGAAGCGACAAACATCAATCGCAGCCTTCTGGCCTTCGGGACCCTCCGCTGCAGAGAGATGCTGTGGCAGATGGGAAGCTCACTGACGGAATGGGGGAACATTGGGACTCACATCAGGATCCTGCAGGGGACCCATAGCACCATCATGTTCCAACTCGCCTGAGAATCGGTGCTAGGAACGTTGTGAGTGCGCTTGCTGCACGAAAGCCTCACGTGCCGCTGCGCGATAGCAAGCTGACGAGGACCGCTTCAGCATTTATTTGAAGCAGGGGCCAGGATGGACGTGTGCACTTCTGCGGTTCGTTCCCGACGTTTTATGGTGTTGAAAGGTGCGTTGGATCACGTAGCCTCAACGGCCGATTGCACTCAATGTCTCCATCGGGTCTCTTCAACACGAACCTTTCTAGAAGATTTATAAATGGCCTTGTCTAGAGTTGGACCTCGATAATGGGCCTTAGCAGTACTGCTGTTAATGGTATTGGTGGCACAGTGGATGGGCAAATCCCACACGACCCAAGTATGCCATATTATCCATGTTCCTATGTATTCCTACATATCTTAGGATCTGGGCCGGAAGGGTTTGGTTGAGGTGGTGGGTACCACATTCTGCCGTACGGTAGGATCCTTGACGGCTCCATCGGTGGGAACTGCCGCACCGCACTGCTGGTGTGCGTAAACCCAGCTTTCGAGCACGTGCCTGTGCCGCATTTGCCGCTGCTTGGGCAGCCTGGGTGTACAACCTTCAACTACAGAAATTGTTTTCTTCCGCAGGAAGCACAACCACCTTGATTGTTCTGCGTGTGGGAACTTCGTCTAATGATCTCTCCTCCTTCGCTTGGGGTGTAGGAGTGCTGTGTCGTGGTGTATGGACTGCCTGCATTTTGCAATCTTTGGGAACTCTCGTGAACCGCTGGGGCACTGGCGTGTAAGAGTTGTTGTGCCAACTCTGGCGAGCACCGTCTTTCCACAAACAGGTACTATGCAGGGTTGCTTGACCAAACTTAGTCATCTCTGTTCACCTTAGCTCAAGGACATGATGGTTGTAGGAGTGCTTGTGGCATGTGAATAGATGAAGCATCTAATGGGCAGCCTGAATAACATGACATCAGAGCCAGACAACTGCACCGCATCCAACACATACATGCCGGAGGGAAGGTACCAAACACATCCCACCTGAAACCGCCTTGTCATAGTGCAGCTGCGTGATCTCTGGCTTCGCTGATGCCCAGAACTGGTAAAATCCAGAATGCGAGGCCCAATAAAGCAACAACCATAGCTTATATGCTTTATGTATGTACACAGGGATTGTGGTTGAGATGCCCGCTCCAGGTTGGCGAAACTCAAAATACATTGGAGTTCGCCTCGCGAGCGATGCGCGTAGAGGCCGCCAAGAAAACCAGAAGCGCTGGCATAGGGTTTGGTTGTATACCTCCGATATCTGCTTTCCACTGCAACTGATCGCTGTTGTGTGCTTTCTGGGCGTAGTGTATTCTGACAACAAGTAATTAGGTAGGCCTTGCATGACAACGTGAGTAACGTGAGCATTGGAGAAGCATTGCGTGCCTGACCGTGCCGCATGAATAGTGACATTTTTTCCGGAAACACTTGGTATTTACCCGCCAAAGCCTCCTTGCGTCTGGTTCTCAGACCGTATGCACTACATGATTCTCAAAACCGAAGCCCTAAGCTGGCGATGAATGCTGGTCGTGTCACACGGAGCGTCGGCACGTCCATTGCAAGTGTTTGCCTATAACCCTAACTAATCCCTGAAAGGCTTAAATGAAAGCCTACCTCAAATGCCTGGCCTCATTCCAGCGTGGCGCAGGTGGATGCCAAGGTGAACACAGCGCTGGTCGAAGTCAGCGCCAAGGTAGCGCGGCTTTCCTCTGTCAGCGGTTTGCGTCCCCATGGCGTTTGATCATCAAAGCTACACATAGATATGTCAGGTGTCAGGTCTCACCTGCTTAGCATTCGTGACACTTCAGACAAGAAGCTACGCAGAACTGAGGTGTGGCGTGATGGTGAATTTTTGTTGTTTCTGTGCCGCAAATGCTTCATCACTAGCCCTAGTTCAGAATTTGTGCTCGAGCCTGGCTGGATGATGACAAGTTGTTTTGATTGGACAGACCTTGTTGGCCGACCTCAATCCAGAAGCGCATGAGTTCGGCAAGAAGGCGAGGGACTCTGAGGGGCTCCAGATGAGCCACAACCGTTAAACTCCATGAAAGGAACTAGTCTTCGGGCGGCCATGGTTTATAATTTCA